CACCCGGCTGCGGCGTCTCCACGGCTCTTCCCTTGAAACGCTCGTGCTCCCCCCAGCTGAAGGGCGAGGTGCTTTCACATCCTCCGCTTGCTTCTCAAGCGTTCCCCTCCAGTGCCTGGCGGGGATGGAAAGCGCGCTAGAGGGGAGCCATCAGCTTCTCCCGCCCCTCTCTGCGCTGCACCGCTGCCCATTACCTGCAGGGCAACCAAGCGCACTCGGCTCCCCGAGGAGGACAAAGGCGGCGAGGAGCCTGGCTGGCGGGTCGCCTGGCTAAAGTTCTTAGCTCCGTGCCGCGTCCAGCGCCGGGGAGGCGCACACTTCAGTCCCCACCCATGGCAGCACCAAAACACGCGCTGTGGACACCTAACCACCCACGCCCCGCTCCCTGTGTCACAGTCACCAGAAGCCCCCTCCCCTTAGTCACCGCGCGCCAAATCCTTCAGCCGTCACTCGGGGAAACTTGCTTTCCCGGAGCGTCTGACCGCGCCCCAGCTCCTTCCCAGGAATATAAAGGGGCTCTTAGAAATCGCGCCTCTGCCTGGTGAATCCTATCTCCTCCCGCAAGCAGCAGCGCCCTCTGCCCTGAGCAGTGGGGCCAGGAAGACCGAGAATAAACCGGAGAGGTGCAAGCTGCGAACTGCCCCGCACCCAGCAGCACTGCCCCCAGTGCACCGCTTAGAAATGGCTGCTAAAGTGGCTGGGTCTTTCCCTCTCCTCACCCCTCCTCTGTACCAGCTGAGCTTTCCACCTGCTACCGTCTAGCCTGCTATAGGGCCGCATTGAAAATTTCCCGGCGCCTTGCCACACGCGAGTTCCAGCCGGCGTCACGCCGCACGGTGGGTTTAGGCAGAGGCAGAGCTCTCTTCGCTGCCTTCCCAGGACGAGAACTTTCCAGGGGCCAAGCGGGGATGCTTTGGCGCCGCTATTCGAAGCGGTGCGGGGTTGCCTCGGACTCCAATGCCGCGGGAGGAGCAGCTGCAGCCGCGGTTCCTTGCGGAAGAAGTGGCTAGGGCGGGGCGGAAGGGGTTAATAGCTGCCTGCCTTCTGCACAGTAGCGGGCGGTAATTGTCAGACCAGGCAGCAGGCTGAGAGAAGCGGGCGGGAAGGACTTTGGGTGCCTTGTTGCAGCCGGCTAATTACCGAGGAGTCATTGGTTGCTTTTGGGTGGCGCATTTTATTTTCATGTAGCCCCCCCTCCCCCTTCCTGCTGCTGGTGTGTGCGTTACAGCCCGGGAAGGTGCAGCTCTCCCTTTCTCACACACTCCCTCGCCTAGGCTGCTGCTGCTTCAGCATCACCTGAAAGTTTCCTCCGTGTAAGGGCTCCTCCGGAAGGGCACTGGGAGAGCCCCTTGCCTTGCAGCCGCCGTGTGCCCCCGGCGGGGCAGGAACAGAGCGACTTCTCCGTTAAAGAAGACGAGGAGAAGGCTAGGCTGGAGGATTTCCGTTCCGTCCTGCCTGATCCAGGGGATTGTCTGTAACGGGAAGGAAGATAACTGAAATGCCAGCCAAAGTGTAAAGGCTGAGAGGCGAGAGAAAGCCATCAGTGCGGGGCTGTGGCTTGGCACATCCCTGGGAAAGATTTCTTAGCTGGTTTCTGGCACCTACGCGGAACTGTGGATTCAGAAGCAAGTCTGCTGCCTGGCTTTTCCTGCGTCCCATCCCGCTTGTGTTAAGGACATTAAGGATAATTATGATCGCCTCGAGGTAAGTGAAGGAAGGGGGACGCAGCTGGGGTCCCTCTTCTGTCATGTAAAGAAGAAATAACTCGGGGGAGGGGGCGAATACATCAGATAAAATCGCCCCTCCCCGCTCTCCTCCGCTCCCTTGCGGTTCACAGATTGATTGCAAGAGCAGAGAGGAAAGTTAGTGCCTCCCTAATTAGGCAGGCTGGGGAGGGGGATGGTGGGGCTGGCGATGGAGAGGGTCTTGCCGTTAAAACCTTGGGGTGATTTAATGACCAGTTAAATCTTAGCACCGGGACTTGCTCCTTCCTAGCCCCCACTGATAGTCCTCCACTTTTAACTGAGCTTTGTGAATTTGCGGCTGGCTCCGAAGCTCCGTGGTAGCAGTGTGTGTCGAGCACAATTGCAAAACGGGGAAGAGCGCCGGGATTGCAAGTCCACGCATCTCCCGGCAGCCAGCGCCGAGCGCTGTCTGAGCCACTCCACTCCGGAGACTTGTCCTGGTTGCGCTTCTCCTTCCTGCCGCTAGAGGCTCTGGGGAAGAGCTGTGAGCGCGGGGAGAGGAGTGGCCGAGAGACTCCGCGCAGCGCGCCCGTGCCAGCCACCGGCATCTGTGAGCGAAAGGTGCCGCGGGGCTCCTCTCTCCCACCAGTTCCGCGTCGTGCAGCCAGGCACCGCTGTACAGCGCCATTAGCTCTCCCGCGCTCGCCTACCCCCAGACTTGGAGGCGCGGCCGCCCCCTCACTGCCCGTGGGGATTTAGCAGTGCCCGCGAGAGCGTCTCAAGGGGTGCCTCCCGGGCAACATAGGGCAGAGGGGTCATTGCCTGTTCTCCCCCCTCCATTGGCCCAGTTCCCTCACCCCTTCGACAAGTTTTCCTCGTCTTAGCTTCTGTGTATGGTTCACTGAAAGCATTGTCCTGATCCGTCCTGTCCTGTAATAGCGGCGCCCTGCCCTTTGCCTGACAGAAGGCAGGGGACTGCAGCTAGGTTGGAAGCGGGGCCTGAAGAAACATCCCTCGCCCTGTACTATCGTTATAGACCCTGAAACGCTCCATCCTTGAGGGCAGTGTCTGGTCCGGGTTGAAAAGAGAGTGCACGGTAACCACCACCCATTGTGCTGCTGGCGGTGGGGAAGAGTAAAAGGAGAACAACAGAATAGGAGTAAGGCAAATGATGCTAGACCTAACTCCTCCTCCCCCACCCCTTCCTCATTTTAGTGGTCATAGGAACAAGCCTATGGGTGGGACTTTGTCTTGATGCAGCTTTTTATTTAAAATGCTTTTGTAAGTGGCATGAAGGGACTACCACACCTGTGCCCCGTATGATGGCAAATGTGCCTCTTGGAGTTTTCACTTTTAATTACTTTGGAGTACCTGTGGTCATCTGATACAACACTGCAGAATTTGCACATGCGGGGTTTTAAGGAGGACCTCTCCCGATAGAAGTGCCGGGAGCCGGTATCTTGCATGAAACTGGACGTTAATAACACAAGCAACCAACCAAGTCGGGGCCATTATACCATCTATTGGTCTTGCTGAACACAAAAGTTTAAATGCCAGTGCTCGCAAAATAATATCTGGAGTAATAATATACATAAAATGATTGCAAACATTTCTTTTCCTAGCTTCCTGTAGGATGAGACCAAGGAACCAGTGTACTCTCACCTTTATCCTATGTGACTGTCATTTTAAACTATTGCCATATAAAAAATAAGATGTTTTTTTTTTAAAAAGAGGTTAAATATTTCCAAAATATATAAAATTGTAGGTTGGCTGGTGAAGCTTTGACAGTCAAAAAGGGAGGGACAGTAGGAGTTTGTGGCTTTGACACACAGACTAAAAAGCAGTGCCTGGTTCCTAAATCTGAAACTACAATACTAAGCCACAAACATGAAAATTGCTTCATCATTTGTTGTTGTAAAGAAAGGGAAGCTTGGACTTACATACTGTAGTTCTCAAGCCTCACCTTAGTTTGTGTAGCTGTGTGTCACAGATGGCGAGAACCACAGTGTGAGTAGTATTTCCAAGGGTTACCCTATGCGTATATTAGACATGCTTGCACTCCATTATAATGCACAGACAAAAACACGATAGCAAAGTTGGAGAAGAAGGAAGTAAATATTTTTGCAAAGCTATACTATTTAAAAAAAAGAATTTTAAAAGAAAGTGACCGCTCCCCAAAATCAAAACAGTAACGGCTACATTTCTATCACTATTCTACAATCAAGATGGGCACCCCTGTGAATGAACAGCTCTTCAATCTATTCTGATAAAGATAATGTGTAGATGATATATCTATGACCTGAATTACTGTGTTTAATATTAGTTAATGTGTGAAACCTTCTCAAATTGTTTAAAAGCGAAACATTCTGAAATCGGTTAAACTGTGCAGGTCTGTTATCTCTTACACTGGGCAAATAGAGGAAAATAAATATTGCATTTAACTTCTCTGAACTCTGTTCACTGATTAAGACTAACAGCCACAAAGATACGACAATGTGATATAGCCACATGTGAGTTGTGTGTCTTGATATGCTAGCAGATATTGTGCAGCATTTTTTCCCCCTAGACGTTCTGTGAAAGGGCTGTAGGTGGAAATGTTTTCCTGTGCAGTGGGAAGAGGAGATGAAATACAAAGTATTGGAGAAGCTTGTCAGTGCCAGATAGCTATCTGTAAGCTCTATATTTGTTAACATTAGTTATGAATAAAACCATACATTGTGATGTGATACAGTTAAGACTTAGGAGAAGATTAATTTGATATCCATGGTATACTCTTCTAAAATCAAAAGGAAAAAGGAGTCTGGTCATGTGGGCATCAGCTCAGTGACCTGATAACGTATTTAAAAAATGCAGGTCTTTTGGCATCTATTTTTGAAGACATCACACTAGTAGAAACGTGGCATCTGAGTGTAATGTGTGGATGTAAAAGTCTAGTGACTGTTGATATTCACTAGCAATTTGTGCCAGTAAGATATTTTGCTTTTGACACTAGCCTCTTGATTTTTATTCCTCGTGTTTGTTTAGAAGTCCTATCCAAAGCCCTCTCACTTCAGTAGGCTTGGTATTAAGCCATAAATTGTGTGATCAACTAGCCCTCAGTGAGCCAGGTACAATTAAAAAAAAGAGTTTTGGATTGATGGATTGGATCTGTTTCATTGAAATAACACATTTTTAATACTCCTTTGAAAACAGAGTCCTTTTCACAAATAGCCTTTTGGGTGATGAGATTAATTGTAATGTATTGTGTGTGTGGGGGGGGGGGGGGGGTTCTTTTAACAGCTGTCATTAATGCAGTATCTTTTTCTCAACACTTACCGATCCAGATATCGGTTTTTTTAAACATGTCTTCGATATACTGCATTGTTTATATTTACTAATTAATCATGGATTGACATTTGTATATCATTAATAGACTGATTTTTAGCTAAGCCTGGGTGTAATTATGGATTCTTACAGATACTTACCATATCATTTAGAATGAAAAAATTATTATCTAATACATTTTTCAGGTATTTGGAAAAAAATCTTTGGAATTATTTTTTTATTCTAACTGGAAAAAACAAATTACTGTATTTAAAATGTGTTAATAAATGAGCTGAACTCCAGAACCAATGAAGCTGAATTAGTTAATGCTACGGCCACATCTCAAGATGTTTCATGCAATATATAAATCGCATGATGATTTCAGTCATTGCTACTTTGGATGTTAAAACCCTTTTTAAGAGTTATGCTTTATAGTTTTCAAACTTAGCCCCACCCCCAGTTTAGGTTGCCTACAACTTCATGTGCATTCTGATCTGTTGAGATACTCATTTCTTGCCTATATAGTGAATAAGAAGAGAAAAAAAGACAAGACCAAATGGTAAGCAGTGCTGTATAGTGACATTTCAGTGACCCAATTTCTGTTGGTAGAATGCAAGTGTGTGTTTGTTCAGAAAACAGCATTTGAAATAATCTTGCGTAACTATTTGATCAAAGAGCTAATCTTTAATTCTCTTTGCTTAAAATAGACACCACTGTCTGTATATTGCAGAGGATTTCATTCACATACAGATTTGCTATTACCTACTCCATTGTATTCTTATAAAAGTTGTTTTGGGTCAAAATAACTATTAGATTAATAGGCCTTCCACTGGGAAGAGCTTTTGATTGACTTTTTAAAACCTGCTATTTGATAAAATAACATTCAAATGATTTTTATTAAAATATTTTAGGGTTCTTTAGATTGTGGATGTTCTTTGTTCTAAATATACAGTCATTTATTGTTGATTGCAAGAGACATTAAATGACACGCATTCACCAGACTTTAGATGACATTATATTGAGTGGAATTATATTTTCCTTAGCAAGATGACTGACTGAGATGGGTATCTAGTTTTTCCATATCACTTATTTATTGCCTGGTCCCTAGGACAGAAAGTAAATGACATTTTGGTTATCGAATTGATGTAATATAATATCAAATTGTCTAAAGGCAGATATTTTTTACCTCAAAGTCAAAACCAAATGCATGATACAACGGAAATATAGGTAAAAATCATTAGCTAAATTTTCTATTCTGTAGTCACACTGTAGTGAATTAGATTGAACAAAAGGATTTGTGGTCTTCACAATCTCATTTTAATATATTACTATGATTAACTGCAGGATGTCTCTTACAGCCAGCATGAAGAGGAATAGCTTGTACACAACCTATTGCTTCTATGCACCAAGAGTAAATTATTTATTATAAATGTATTTTAAGCCAGTCCCCTATTTACTTTTGGAGCTTTTTAAAAACTCATCTCCCAGCTGAAAACTGAATTTGATACACTATTTCAAAAGGGTTGTAGTAGAAACAGAAGCCTTGGTCTATACTTGGGAGTTACTTCAAAGTAACTCCCCCCCCCCCTTTTTTTTTTGAAATAACACGTGAAGTGTCCACACTACCAAGCCCTTTATTTCAAAATAATGGGCTGTTTATTTTGAAATAATTCCTGATTTCCAAGAGGAATAACACTTATTTTGAAATAGCAGCAG